CTTTTTTTTTAATTTTCCTCCATAACATAAGCTATTAATAGGCCAGAATATAAACTCCTCAAGGACAGGGATATTAGTCAATTTTGCTTACTGATGGATCACAGACATCTACTGCCAGGAATATAGAAGTGTTCAATAAATACTTGATGGATGAACAGGCAGGGATTATTTCTCTTTCCATTCATGAATATTTCCACAATTCCAAATGTAATGCTAAAACACACTTATATGAAAACTTTTTTTGAATAATTTAATATAGACAGACTTGATATTTTGACAATTCAAACAAGTTAATAAAACCACAATAGATGAATCAACTCACTGGCTACAGAAAGTTCCTTAGCTTGTTCATTACACACTTTCAGTGACTCCCCATCACCACTAATAAGAAGGACATAAATGATATCAGCTGACAAACAGAAAGTAAAGGATTTAATTAAGACCTAAAGTTTGAAATAGTTTCTGATGGTAAAAAAAATTGCTTTAAAAAAATGCTAGTCGGGCTCGGTGGCTCAGCTTGTAATCCCGTGTCTTGGGAGGTTGAGGTGAGTGGATTGCCTGAGCCCGCGGGTTCAAGACCCGCCTGGGCAACTTGGCAAGACCCCATCTCTACAATAAATCAAAAATCAGCCTGGCATGGTAGCATGTGCCTGTAACTCTGGCTACTTGGAAGGCTGAGGTGGAAGGATCGCTGGAGCCCAGCAGGACAAGGCTGTGGTGGCTGGGAACGGCCACTACACTCCAGTCTGGGCGACAGAGTGAGACGCCAACTCAAAAAAAAAAGCTAAATTTGTTCTCTTTCAAAACTTCAAAAGTGAAATGAAAAAACAATTTCAGCTTTATTCTGGTCTCAAGTTATGTAAAAGAACAGTACATCATTTTTAAAATACATAAATTTTAAAGTATGTTTGTCTTCTAACAAAGTGCTTGTTTCATTTTATACATAAACACCTGGAAGAAAATAAGGATTACATCTTTCATGAAGAATGTAAAAATATCACTTTTGAAGCAGGCATATTCAGCAACTATTTATTGATAATGATTGTTTTAAAAGTTAGCCCCTCAGGCTGGGCGCAGTGGCTCACGCCTATTATCCCAGCACTTTGGGAGGCTGAGGTGAGACGAGTGCCTGACCACATAGGTTTGAAATCAGCCCGAGCAACTTGGTGAGACCTCGTCTCTACAATAAATCAAAAATTAGCTGGATAGTGGTGCATGGTTCCTAGTAGTTCTGGCTACTTGGAAGGCTGACGCAGAAGGATTGCCTGAATCCAGCAGGTCGAGGCTGCGGTGGCCGTGAGCGTGTCACTGCACTCCAGCCTGGGCAACAAAATGAGACTCCAACTCAAACACAATAAGTTAGCCCCCTCAAATAGAAAACACATTTTAAAAATTCTACCCAGAAAAATGATCTGCTTTCAAGCTGATGTAATTCAATTAACGTAAAACATCCAGCTATTCCATATAACAGAAATTACAAAGAACATTCCCAGGGCTAAACATTCAATAAAGTAACAGATCTGTGAAGAGTCAATTTGGTTTTTTTTCTACTTATTTTAGCCATATATTATTCTATACACAAGAAAAGATACAGTAATAATTAAAAGGCATAAAAATAATTGCTGCTTACATAATCTTGAGGGTTTTAACTACAACACCATCTTCTGATTTTCAAACTAATGAGAATTAAATAGGACTAACCATGATTAGATAACTCTAGTCTACGTAAATGAATTACCATACATTGAGGAAGATGATATTGTATAGTAGAATAAATGGGCTTTAGAGACTGGAGTTCAAAGCCTAGCTTTCTCATTTCCAAGCTATTTGACCAGAAGCAAAATGTATAACTTCTCCAAGTCTCAGTTTATCAATAAGATGGACATTATCATTTTTCCCTTGCAGACTTAAGCACTCCTATGCTTAAAACCTCCTAGAATACATTATAATCTACAAAGTAAGTTTCAAACTCCCTCAAAGACTCTCTTGCTTCTCAAAAGAAGATATACAAGCAGCCAACAGATACATGAAAATGCTCAGCCTCACTAATCATCAAAGAAATGCAAATTAAAACTACACTTAGATATCACCTAGCCCCAGTCAGGATGGCCATCATCAATAACTCAAAAACAACAGATGCTGGTGAGGATGCAGGGAGTGTAAACTAATACAACCTCTGTGGAAAACAGTTTGATGATCCCTAAAAGATCTAAAATTCAACCTTCTATATGGCCCAGCAATTCCCTCTCTGGGAATGTACCTGGAGTAATCACTCTATGAAAAAGATACCTGCACACACGTGTTTATTGCAGCACTGTTCACAATAGCAAAAACATGGAACCAACTGTGCTGCCCATCGAAAAAGGACTGGATAAAAAAATGTGGTACATATACACTATGGATTATTACGCAGCCATAAAGAATGACAAAATTATGAACTTCACAGTAACTTGGGTGGACTTAGAGTCTCTAATACTGAATGATCTATCACAGAAACAAAGAACTGAGTATCACATGTTCTCACTCATAAGTGAACCTTGAACAGTTATTCTAATACCATAAGAAAAGGATTGGCAGTAGTGGGAAACTGCAGGGTGGGGGAGGGTGGGGTTGGCAGTAGTGGGAATCAGGTACCTCATCAACAAGGGTATCTGCATTATGAACATTTGTATACCTAACCCTGAATTGTACTCCACATCCTTAAAATTAAAAATTAAAAGAAAGAGGGGAAAAATGTTTTCTAGTCTCAAAATTTCCTAAAACATCCAAGCAGAAATGTCCAAAAAGTAAGCCGGGAATGGTGGCTCACGCCTGCAATCCCAGCACTTTAGGTGGCAGATGCAAGAGGGTTGCCTGAACCCAGGGGTTTGAGACCAGCCTGATCATCATGGCAAGAACTCATCTCTACAATAAATCAAAAAATTAGCCGGGTATGGTGGCGCACACCTGTAGTTCCAGCTACTTGGAAGGCTGAGGTGGAAGGAATACCTGAGCACAGTAGGTCAAGGCTGCAGTGGCCATGAGCATGCCACTGCACTCTAACTTGGGCAACAGAGTGAGACTTCAACTCA